AGGGGCCTCAGTGGGGTGCAGTGCCCATAGAGTCCACCCTCCAAAGCACCCATTTTCTCCAGGGGAAACTGATCTCTGTAGTTTGGAGATGAGCTGTAAATCCCAGGAGATCCTCAGGCCCCACTTGGGGGCTGGCATTCCTGCCTCCTATGGTTCACATCAGCCTGCCTGGGTTGTTGTGGCACTCCTAGGTAATCAGTCAGAGGGAGGCAGTTGTGAATGTGATGAGAAAGAGAAAGGGTTCGTGATTTGGAGCTGATTTGCCAGGAGTTACAAGGCTGCCAGCCCTGACCTGGATGGCTCAGGCTAGCCCGATCTCGGAAGCTAAGCAGGGTCTGCCCTGGCTAATACTCGGACGGGAGACCACCAAGGAATACCAGGGCTGTGACACGGAGACAGGAAATGGCAAAGCACCTCTGAACATTTCTTGCCTTGAAAACACAACAGAGTTGCCATAAGTAAACTGTGACTGAATGGCAACAAGAACAACAGAAGCAAAGCTGCTGATTCTAGTTTGGGAGATTCATGGAGATTTGGGAGTGATGCCTGGGGAAAGTAGAGCCTGGGGAGGGGATGGAGGTCAGAAGAGATGTGATGCCAACTGGACCCATCCTCCGAAACTGCCGTTTCTTCCAGAGGAATTAGAGTTGCCAACCTCTAGGTGAAAACTGGAAATCTCCCGCTATTACAATTGATGAGACCAAGATAAGTTCTCCTGCAGAAAAGGGCCACTTTGGAGAGTGGAATCCATGGCATTATACCCTGCTAAGGTCCCAGGCTCTGTCCCCAAATCTCTAGGTATTCCCCAACCCAGAGCTGGCAACCCTAAGGGGAATTAATCACAGTAGTTTGGAGATCAGTTGGATTTTTGGAAGAAATCCCCTGCTGCCAGCTCCTGTTTCCTGCTGTTGCTCTAAGGGGTGACAGTAGGAAAAGAAAGGCCATTGGGCTGATGGTGTGATGGCCTGCATCTCTAGGAAGTAAAGGAAACTGTTGTTTTACCATAGAGTTTTGGGAGAGTCCTAGAGAGTCACAACATCACTTCCGGGTTTTCCCAAGAAATTATATCACACCATCTCCACTGGCTGCCTCTCATATTCCTCCCCAGCCTCCGATCTCCTGATGGCTGCCAGACCTGGTTGGCAACTCTAAGTTGCAGGCGTCTTGGCCTGATCTGGAGTGCTGCAGTCTATGGACATCAGAGCTGGAGTGGGGCACATTCAAGCTGGGAAGTATGCATTGGGGTACTATGTACCTTGACAATGGGCTTGCAGCATGGCAGGAGAACTGAGCTGCAGTCCAGTTGCCTTGGTGATGGGAACATGCCATCTCTGACCATGGAAGTCCTGGATATGTTACAAGGGGCCTGGGAGTTTTCTTCTTGGAAAAAAATTGACCCTGTGAAGCTATCTTGAGATTTACCACCATTCTGAAACAATATGTCAATAACAGGCATTATTTACCAATCAATCAATCAATGTTTATTACAATACAAGATCAGAAACCAGTCAGAGACTTGTACCTCAGATACAACCGGGGAAAGCCCCTGGGAAAGATTCAATTCCCCTGGAGGTGATTAAATCAGGTATCGAATGATGGGCTCTGGTCCTTGCAGCCCTTTTTACTTACATTGATCAAACCGCCAAGATCCGGAGCAACTGGGGTATGGTTGTTATCATCCATATATATATGGATGATAACAACCATACCCATACCAGGGAGAATATTTTAGTGGAGGAGCAAGCCTGTGCCATTTGGTGGAGAAATACACAGCTAGACCGCATCGGGCTCTGTTTGTAGCCTTTGTGGATTACAGGATTGTGTTTGACAGCATCTTGCACAATAAACTTTTGTTTATTCTGTTTTTAGTTGTTCAATTATGGCATATGCCTCTTTGTTAGCCACCCTGAGCCCATTTGGGGAGGGCGGTATATACATTTAATAAATAAATAAATAAATAAAACTAGAAGCCTCCATGATAGATGGTAGGCTCCTTGCTCTCATACGCATTATTTACCAATTATTATTTGTCTCCTTTTCAGTTCTTTGCATTCATCACCACACTGCTGTATATTTTACACGCTTTCAGCAACTACTACCACTAAACATCTCTGAGAAGAAAAGGACACAGCGGCAAGGACAGTGCCAAAACGCTACAATTTGTGTTCCAAAATAAACTGTCTAAAATTGATTTAAGGACTGAGTTCTGTTAAAACTGAGATCCCTCAGAATCTAGCCACTTCTCATTTTAAGTGAAAAAGATACTGGGTTTTGTAAAAAATTGTACATCATTTTATATTGAAACACTCTGAATGCCAATACAATAGAATGAGTAATCTGATCCTTGATTATCTGGTTCTTCCTGTTACATCAAATCATGGTGTTTCCTTCTGTTTCCCCATGTAAAATGCTCCCATTTACCTAAAACAGTCATTTTTTTTAACATGCTATGTTCAGGGAATACTTTCCACATTGCTCATTGGCTGAGGAACTGCTGAATGCTGCAGAGGATTCTGGGATATGTGCAGTGTCAGTTCATGTGGGGCACTGACTGTTTTCCAGCTGACTATTAGGACCAGCTTTGCAGTTTTGGTGACAACAGCACAGTCCTCCTGATAGGATTTTACTGCATTGGATTTATGTTGGAATTATTTCTTGTGATTGTATCTACAAGTAAATACATGCTGTTGCAAGACCAGAATAGGACAAATAAACTCCCTGATGTGGTAAAAGCCAACTGCCTCCGCATGAGGAGGGCAGAAGAATGATCCTTCTTATGATGCTGTTTCCAGGTCAAAAAGTAATGTATGAATTGGCCTTAAATTACCTTTCAACAATTATGATGTACATAAAGATTTTCTGTCTTTTGTTATTACATAGCATATTTGTGTCAGTAGGAGTAACTTATTGGTAAACCTATATGTATTTTCAAATTTCTTTCATTTTGTATTGCTATTTTAGTTAACTATCTTTTGCCAGGACAACATGGCTAACTTTTATTCCTTTTACTGGCTTGTGTGTCTTTTCAGTTTCTGTTGTAAAAGAAGTCTCAATGATACATCACAGAAGACATGTGGGATTTTATATGCACTATAACCTTAAACCTGTTTTAACAGTTATGTAGGCTTGCCAAGTCCCACCGGGGGGTGGGGAAACCCCCGCCCGAGAGGCCCGTTACCCGCCACTGGCGGATCAGGCCCCAGGGGGAACCCCACCCCCAAAGCACGCGACGTGCCCAGCGTCAGCACGTCACCCGGAAGTGACGCGGGCGCGCTGGGGGCAGGGCCGTGGTCATCCGAGGGAAAACTCTATGGTTTTCCCTTGGATGATTGTGGCCCCGCCCCCGGCGTGCCCGACGTGGTTGCATCACTTCCGGGTGATGTGGCTGCGGTGCGCATGCGCTTTGCGCGTGCACACAAACTCCTGGAGTGGCGCTGGAGTCCCCCGCTCTACATACAGCGAGGACTTGGCAACCCTACAGTTATGGAGGAACTATAGGAACTTTAGGTTTATGAGTATTAAGTGTTCTGAGGGGACATCTAGCTCAAAAACTGAAACTGGTTTAGTATACACACCTCCCCAGAGTATTCTGGGATTTGTAGTTGTATGGTGGAAGACCAGAGATATCTAACAGGATTCTCAGCAACCTCAGCAAACTGAAGAAGCGTGCTTGCACACGAAAGCTTATGCCTTGAATAAAACTTCATTGTTCTTAAAAGTGCCACTGGACTCAAACTTTGTTCTACAATTCCCAGAATTCTTTATGACAAGCCAATTTACAACTATAGATCACTCACTCCAAATATTCGTGGGTCCTCAGGAAAAGGGCTCCACTCACTCTGTGGGCCCACCTCCTCCTCAACACTGCCCTAGAAGTTTCTCTTCTTCATCACTGTTACCACTGCCACAGTGTCTAGGGTTACCAACTCTGGACTGAGAAACTCCTGGAGATTTGGAGGCAGTGACTGTGGAAGGGGGAATCTGGGGAGCGATTCACCTAGAATTTATGACATACCGTAGAGTTTGCCCTCTGAAGCTGCCATTTGCTCTAGTAGAACTGATCTTTGTGGTCTGGAGATCAGTTGTAATTCCAACAGAAATCCAGGTCCACTGTGAGGTTGGCAGCTGTGTGGCCCATTCATTCATCTGGCCAGACGAGACACCAAGCAAGCAGGCCGTGTCTCCTCTCAAGTTATTCACTCGTCTTCTGTCTCCTTGGGGCCAAACGTGAAACTTGTTCTGACAGTGTCCATGAACCTCACCTATAGATGATGCCGCCATTGTAAAATGCTTTAAAAATGTTGTGGATCAGACCCACAGCACAGGGGCCTGAGGTGCTCTTCTTTTCAACCACATGCCTTCTGAAGTAATGAAATGGCTGCACGCACACACATACATCCCCAGCTGTATTGGCACTTGAAAAGGCACAGTTAAATCATTTTAAAATGACAGTGGCATCCATGGCCTGGATGATTTTGGAGATGGAGGTGGGTTAGAAACCTGCTGTCAGTTCATGTAGAGTGGGCTTCTAACCTGTCCCAATCATTGTGTTTTGAGAAGGCTGAAACACAGCAAAGTTAGAGATCTGAAGCCTCTGTTCTTCATGGGTCCTCCTAGGATTTTTACACAGAAACAAAACTGCTGTTGTATCACATCTCATATCCTGGTCTCTAGGCAGCACTAGAAAATCATGGATCATCATGATTTTTACACAGGGTTACTAAAAAAACACTAGGATTGCAGATCCCAGCCACATCCACACATTGCACAACAAAACACATGGATCTGGTGCACTGTGCTATCTAGCAGTAGCCTTCTAGTCCATCACCCACCCACACAACCACTGTGTAGAGAAAGTGGAAATACAGTGAAGTTAGAAATCTGAACTCTCCAAGATCTAACTTTTCTGTGTTTCAGCCTTCATTAAACTAGGGTTGCAAGCCAATGGCTGGCAACCAGGGGGTGGTGGGAATGGAGGAAATGGCACCAAGCCAGTGGCATGATGTCACTTCTGGCAAATACTGGAAGTGACGTCACATTACGGTGACAGTCATGTGACACTCTAGGATTTTGGCAAACCTATGGTTTTGCCATAGAGTGTAGCCCAAATCCTAGCGTATGGCATCAACTTCATGCCAGTGACATGATATCACTTCTTGTATTTACCAGAAGTGTCATTGTTGTTTCATTTAAAAATAATTTTCCCCACTGTCTCTCAGTGGGAAATGAACAGGGAGATCAAACATAGGGACTGGGGAGTGCATTAGAAGCCCACTCCTAAAGTGGGTTTCTAATCCACCCCCCCCCCCGATGCTAATGGTTACCATTCAGTTTAAATCAGCAGCATCTTTGTGTATGCAGTTTTTTGAAAATCTGATGCTAACCAGTTCAGCAGACGTTCACGACTGTTCCATATAACCAACCAGGTTGGGTGATAGGGTGCCCTCAGCTGCTCCCCCCCCCCCGCCAATCAGTTGGCTGGCAGGGGGACTTACTAGCAATGCTCCCTCTAAGCTGTGGAGTCTTGTGAGCACAAATTTTACTTTGTGAGCTGCTGCTGCTGCTCGGCCAGCGCGGGGGAGAGGCGGCCTCTTCTTGCAGCTCCTGCTCCCCAAAGGGAGCTAGAAGTTGCCCCAAGCCCAGCACCGCCGAGCCCCGGCCTTCCATCTCATGACGCAGATGCCACGGTGGCTCAGAGGGCGCCCGCTCCAGCCCTTCCTTCGCACCCAGGCCATTGGCTGCACCGCCGCCACTGGGGACTCTGTGCCCTCACCCCGCAAAGCCACTTTATCTCCCGGTGCGGTAGCTGGCAAAGTCCCGTTGCGCAGTGGGGGGGTGCCCCCTTTCCCTGCCTCCACCACACTCCCCCCTCCCCCCTGGGAGAGAGTGGACGGGGCAGGACCTCCCACAGGAACCCGAAAGAAAAAAGAGACATTCGCCACAGGCCACCCCATCCCTCCCAGGGGCGGAGGGGAGGGCGGCAGGGCATCAGAGCATTTTGGCGCCCACCTCCAGGGGCCACGGCCTGGCCACGCTAGGCAAAAGTCTAGTTTGCCTAATGGGCGGGCTGGCCCTGCTCCTATCCTACAGCAAGTGCACTGGCTCCTAGTTAGTTTCCAGTACGAATTTCAAGTGTTGGTACTTACCTTTAAAGCCCTAAATGGCCTAGGGCACTCATACCTTCGGGACCACCTTTCCCAATATGATCCTCCCCGTCTTCTACAATCTTCACCTCAGAATTTATTGAAAGTCCCTGGTCCATGAACTGCCTGCTTTGTGTTAACAAGGGCAAGGGCCTTCTCAGTAGTGGCCCCCGTCCTGTGGAACCAGCTGCCCGAAGAGCTGCATGCCTTTCGGGGTTCCCTAGGTTCCACAGGGCATGCAAGGCTGCTCTTTTTCAGGCAGCTTTTGGGTGATTGTGATCTACCAGGCAGCTGGTATGCTTCAGCTGTGTCTTCACCATCCATGCATCCTAGCCTGCTTGAGTAGATAGATTATGGGGATAGATTTTTAACCATTTGATATTTTAAAGATTATTTATCGTATCTTTATATTGTTTCTCTTGGTTATTTTAAATGCTGTTAGCCGCCCTGAGTCCTGTCCAGGGGAGAGGGAGCTGGATATAAATATGATAAAACAAACAAACAAGCAAGCAAGTACAAATATGGATGGATGTTCTGGAGGCATTGTCAAGGAGTCATATATGAAGAACTCCCCAGCCAGCCACCACTTAGCATTCCCAGAATGTTGGGCAGGGTTGCCAACTGCCCCCACTCCCCACTCACGCGCTGGGTTGATCCTGTCCCTTTAACAGAGGTTGGATATGCAGAAATCAAGCTGCAGTAAAAAGGGAAGCAACGGGGGCCCATTCCAAACATGGCAGCCCGAATATTAACAATGCAAACTTGCTGTATTCCACAGCAGGGAAAAGGCAAACTGATGTTGCTTAATGGATGCTTTCAAAATCCTACAGAATCTCTGCATACGAGGAAAGATTTACCTGTGACAGGTCTGTATATCAGACAGCAGTAAAAGGCACAGAAACCATGCCAGCAAAAAACGGGGCACCTTGTTGTGCTTCCAAGCATTTACTGTCAATAAGGCCATAGCAAGAGAACTGTTCTCGGTGTCAGGTAAATGTTCTCACAAGGTCCTGGTGCTGCATGGCAGAGTGAGACTTTTGCACTAGTTAGCAAAGCACCCCCCCCCCCATGTGATTCTGTGCCACCACAGTGACTGATAGGACTGGGCTGCAAAACGTGAAGAGGGAACAGGGTGGAGGAACTCCTTGCCTGGAGCCATGAAAAGGGAGCGTGGGGGTGGGGGATCAAAAGAAGAAGAAGAAGAAGAGATTGGATTTATACTCTGAGTCTCAGAGTGGCTTACAAACTCCTTTCCCTTCCTCTCCGCACAACAGACACCTGTGAGGTAGGTGGGGCTGAGAGAGTTCTTTCCAAAACTGTCCTTGAGAGAACAGTTCTGTCAGAACTATGGCTTGCCCAAGGTCATCCAGCAGCTGCAAGTGGAGGAGTGGGGAATCAAACCCGGTTCTCCCAGATTAGAGTCCGCGTACTTAACCACCACACCAAACTGGCACCCTGAAGCTATTGAAGCAGAAGCTATTGTGGGCTTCATCCCACTTTATCAGATGCATAAAATGTGTTTTGTGATGGAGAAGACAATTATTCATTCTACTCTGCTTTGCCCATTCTGCACTGATTTCTCTGAAATTCATACAGAACTGAAGCCAGAGCACGTACATAATATGTTTTCTTACTGAATATTCTTAATTTGTTACATTTTCTTGGAAGGGTATGAAAAGGCCTAACATATACCCATTTTTCTAGTGGCCAGAGTCTAATTATCTGCAATTGATTTTTAATGCCTTAAATGCAGGAATGAAGTTTGTTAGATTCAAGTGCCACTGGATTCCTGTTTTCTTTTGCAATCTAATAGGCAGCCGTCAGCTCCTTTGTTCTGAGTGCAACAGAGCCAGCTGATGGCTCATAAACATCAAGTTGAACATAGAGAGTGGTCTTTTCAGATTTTTGCCGTATTCACATGAACATAAAATCTCAGGAACTCTTGCAACATTTCAGTAGATGATCCAATAAAAACACACATAGAACTGCACCCATCCCACGGACTTGCCTACATTGCAGTTCATCACTGCTACT